TGCCTATTCAAAGTTAAAAATCTTTCAAGTTGTTTAAGGAAAGCACCATTCAGAGATCATCACTGTTTTTTGTTTCACGGTCAAGAACTATTGTATGTTAAAAAAATTTAGCAAGCGAATTATATGAGACTGCTAGACTTAACATGTATGAAAATATGAAGTACAGCAGTTTGATAAATTTGTAAAATTGACTACCAGTTTATAAAAGTTGTGCTTCTAATCCAAAATAAATTACAGATTAAAGATTTAATTGTAATGTGTAAAATTATGGAAGTACAGAATTTAATTTCAGTCAAAAAGACATTTGAATATTTTAGAAATATTTCTGACCTATCTTTCAAGTATGGGGTATTTAATGTGACAATAAGGAAAAGAATAAGTAAATTGGAATTTCATAAAAATTTAGAAATTTTGTTCAGCAAAACACTTGATATCAAAAAGTGAAAAGAAAAAGCTACAAGCTATGAGAGTATACGTAGAAAAGATTGACAACAGACAAACAACCCAATCATAAATGAGCAGACCAAAGTTCAACATCATTAGCTATGAGAGGGATGCAAATCAAAACCTTAATTTGTACGCTCACAAAGATTGCTAAAATAAGTAAAATAACAAATACTAACAAAGTTGTGGCAAGTTAAAACTCTTATTTTTTACCCCCAGGGACATTCCAGTGAATTGACCTAATACCATGTTTAACTCTTCTACCTCATAGTTCATTGTGTAGTGCCTAATTGTTTAAAAGCTTGAAGTGGTCACCCAATTGGTCTTTATTCTTCAGCATAACAGTTAATTCAGTAATAGGAGGGTGTGGGCTGTGTACCTTCATGAACAACTGCTTTCTTTGCCGTGAGCCCAGAATTAGATGGTGCCCAGCTGTCATAATTGAACTTTTTTTTTAAATCAACTTATTGGAGCTCATACAATTCATCACAATACACAGATCAATTGTGTAAGGCACATCTATGCATTTGTTGCCCTCATCATTCCCAAACTTCGCTTGCCTCTTGGGTTCCCGGAATCAGCTAGTTTTCCTTTTTTCCCCTCCCCTCCCCTATGCACCCTTAATAATTTATAAATTATTATTATATCTTATATTACACTGCCCGGCCTCTACCTTCACCTACCCCTCTGCTGCCCATCCCCCAGAGAGGAGGTTATATGTAGCTCCCTGTGACCAATTCCCCATTCCTACACCCCCCTTCCCTCCTGGTATTGCTGTTGTCACCCCTGGTCCTGAGGGATTCATCTGTCCTAGATTTCCTGCGTTTCCAATTCCCATCTGTACCGCTGTGCATCATCTGATCTAACCAGGTCTGCAAGGTAGAATTGGGATCCTGGTAGTTGGGAGGACATAATTGAACATTTTTAATGAAAGAGTCTACGGAAAAATCCTGATCAAAAGCAAGGAAATGTAGAATAGGAGGTCTAATTCTTGTGAACTTTAGATTTTTCTGGAGCTATGGAGCATGAGTGAACTCTGAAACTTTTGCTCTACGATAATCTAAACTTTAAATCTCCTAAAGTCTTTTTAAAACCTAATCATAGTCCACCCTAATGTAGTATAAAGGTCTGCCTTGAGCATTTTCCTCTTACGAACAATCTACATGGCATTCACTTGACAATCATAGACAAACACCAAATTCCCTTCCATCCAGTTAATTCTGATTCTGACTTAGGATGACCCTGTAGGGCAGGGTAGACCTACCCCTATGGGTTTCAGTGACCATAACCCTTCATGGGAGTAGAAGGCCTCACCTTTTTTTCCCATTGGACCAGCTGGTGATTTCGAACTGCTGGCCTCTAGGTTAGCAGCCCAGCTCATAACTAGTAAGCCACCAGGGCTTGCTCTTCGATTAACAGGAACTCTAAATACCAGATGGGAACTTTAATGAGCAGTGACTTGATGTTAATGAGGGAAGAATAACTCAGAACAGGGTATGATTTACAACTTGATGTAAATGTGGTCACTGAATTGTATGTAACAAATTGTTGAATTGATACGTTTTTGCTCTATATTCTCAAAAACAAGGAAATAAAATAAGATTTAGGAGATTAACTGCATAATTGCACAGCTTTAAAAATCACATGTGAGCTAAATTTCTTAAAGTTAATAGCTCTAATCAATAAGAAAGATCTCAACAACTAAAAGGATAAATTTGTGTGTATGAACAGGTAGATCACAGAAAAAA